AGAATTTTTTTCAAACAGGCCAACTACTTACGTCCTTTCTGTCAGCAGTAGGTGTCATCTCTCAGCTATACAATGAGGGTGAGATTTATCTCACCTCATTTTACACTACACTAATCAATCAGGGCTCGCTTAACTTTTTTTTTTTAAACTTTTAAACCAAGACATTTCCAGAGGCCAATTTATCTCATCCTAAAATAGGCTGCTGAAACAGCTGGGATGAATGACGCTTAAGAGACATCCTTTCTCTAGAATAGCTCTATGAGCTACTGTAACTAGCTCTTCAATACTCATTCTTAGACATCTGAAGATTGACAAAAGAAAAATCTAGCCCCTGTTTGCACGTTTACCCACCCCACGAATTGTACCGAAGAGAAGGTTTCAATTACTGCTAGGATCCATTCAAAGCCCATGGCACCAGGCAGGTGCACCTTCACCTCCTTCTCATACAGATGACAAATGGTAACCTATTTCAAAATTGAACTTAATCTCAAAATCTTAAAAATGCAAAGAAAATATCAGTAAAATTAGGCAGCAATTTTTATTTATATTCAGTATATTTATTATTTACATTTATTTATGTCTCACTCAGAGCTATATTTTCATAAACATGCTCATAGGAGCAATGCTAAGTCAAAGCAGCTGCTTAATTTGGCTAAAAAGAGGCCTCTGGTGGCAGTTGTGAATATAACTTCAGTTTCCTGAAATACGTATTTTGATGACATAATTTTCTATATAGAAACAGCTACAGAAAGCAGACTAAGCAGTTAGATTTGCAGTGAAAATTTTGACATATCACTGCTCATCTCCAAAGCACTAACCATTTCAGCCCATTCTTCTTCATGCCTACACCACAGTTGTCAAAGTAGTCTTAAAGTTGCATATATTTCCAGTTAAGTAAACCATCTAATTTTTAAATAGCTGCATTGAAAACTTCAGTTTTAAAGTTATTTTATTTCTTAAGATAGTAACAATTAAGTTAAGGTTGAGGCCTGCTCATTCCCTGACACCAACCATGAAGGCTCCTTGATTTTGTTTAAAAATTACATAGACTGACAAGGAAAATTCACAGAAATATTTCTATATAAAAATGCAGCATTTCTTGCGTAAGCAGAAGAATAAAATAAGCCTGCAGAGTAAAACATAATAAACTGGCAAATGCATACAACTTCTGTAAAATTCAATTCCTTTATTAAAGCTTCATGACACTGACCCACAGGGAACATAGGGAACCCAATCTTTAGGCACATGACTAGGAACAATCACACAGCCTACAAGAAGCTAGATAAGGCTCCCTGCCTTCTAGAAAAAGCCAGACAGGAGAATCATAACAACATGGAGAACTGTAACAAGTATGTTAAGGTTGGTATGAAAGACATGTGAACAGAGACGTGTGTGTGCAGGGACTGGAAGCAGCAGCAGGCCAAGGATTAAAATAACAGCCTATACTGATCACAAAAGACGCCACTCCCAGCAGTAAAACTGAAGGATGTGTTTTTACATCAAAACCCAAAGTCCTGCTCTCGATATGATCACAGCACAGACTCCCATCTGCAGAGGACCATGCATCTCAGCACCAGCAGAACAGCAATAAGGTTGCAGTGCATCACATGCACCACCCTTTTCCTTTGCATCCAACAGGACAAGGAGATGAGAGACGTATTTCAAACTCATATGTAAGACAAGGAAAAACATAAAAACTTGGCCTGAGATTTATGGAGGCTGACATAAGTAATAGTCTGAGGCAAAGGGCAACCTGTAACAGCTGATGATTTGCTTATTGGTTGGACTGGAGTAAAAGCAATCCCATTATCATTTAAGAGCCCGCAAAGAGGACTTAAGCAGACTAATGGACAGCCAAGAACTTCCTCTGGCATGGCCAACTTTTGTACCGTCTCTTGGTCCTTGACACTGGCATCTCAGGAAGGAAATAACAAGTCCTGTCACCAGAACTGACCCTGTAAGCCACTGTCATCCGCAACAGCTGCACCAAGCAGTTCCTCTTGGGATGAGGCTACAGCAAGCAGCTACAACTATCATTTCCATCCTTCTATTTATTTCGGCAATTATCTTAAAAGCTGTCCAGGATGCAAATTAAGTTTAAAAGTTTCAGTGTTGCAATCCACTATTTATTTTCAGCTGAGCAAAAAAGACGAGATCTACAGAAGATGATAATTTAACATTTCTCCCATCAGACTGGCCAGCTTGCAGCCATACTAACGTAACAGCAATGCTAAAAACATGTACTTTTTTGTATTTATTAAAATAAATAGCTGAACTGCCTAGCCAATGTGCATTATATTTCTGTTGAAATAACTCTCTTTTAATTCTTAATAGCAAACTCATTAACAGATTTAAGCAACAGGTCTATCTGTTCCATATTTTTTTTTATGCCACAGTTACCTTAAAAGACGTTCAGGATGGATCATAAGCTGAAAATCTTCATGCAATATCTATTTTTAAAGTATAGATTTGCAAAACATTGTACAACTAAAGCTCTGCACTTCCTGTGCACAGCTGCATTTTTTCCTGAAAGCGTTTCAGTGCAGGTCCAATCCAACGAAACAGACTTAACTGCTCTTTCAGAGAGCAGCTTTGTTTTCATAGAATGACAGCTCAAATCTTTAAAGAAGGAAAAAAATTTAGCTAAAAAAAAGGAATAATTTTACTTGTCCAGAAGGGATTGTAAAGGATTTATTACTCCCAAAGTTTCTTTTCATATTGATGACAACAACTCAACACATTTCATTTTTTACAGAAAGTACATCCAAGTAACATGAAATACACTGCAAACAAACACTGAAAACACTTCAACTGAGAAGATCAAATTTGTATGAAGCAACACATAGCTATGCGTGTAAGTACACAACTTGTTACACAGCCATAGCCGGACAGCAGGACACTGCCAATAGCGGATGCCCAACACGGCTCTTTCCTCCCATAATCTGCTCCATCCAGTCCCACTGGCAGTCCCTCAGACAAACGTAACAGTAAAATTCATACTGTGGAGAAATACAAGCTTTGCCATAGAGTAGCAGACCAATGGCTCATCTTTCCCATTGTCACGCTTAATCTGTTTATACTTTACCTGACCAAGAGCAAGCCCCTTACTGAGCAACTACAGAATGACAAAACACTTGTCTACACAATTAAGATACTCAAAATAGAGAGAGAGTCAGATAAGGAGGTGTGCCTGATCTGCCCTACTTAAACATCTGTACAATCTGACTTAGCTGTAGATATGATACCATATTGCCTTAAATTAGAAACTGCAGGCAGAGAAGGTACTTGATGGAATCACACACCTTTTTCAAGCGCGTGGCTCTTCTCATCCCTATGGTTATCTTAACTCAGTACACTACAGTTACTAGGCCTGAGTTAACTAAGCTGCAGACATCTCTCAGTGATTTGATCAGCAGCATAAAATGAGCTAGTGTACAGAGACTGAATTAGGACCCCATGAGTTGTTCGCCACAGTCCTGCAGGAGGGTGGATTTGCCAGCTTAAGGAAACTCGCAGCTCTATTAGAAGCAGCAAGCATTCTGCTAACCCACACACCTTGACCAAGCTTAAATCAAGGGAGCCATTAGTGTAAAGTGAGCGGTAAACCTTTGGCTTATGCTCTAATTCTTAATGCTGTAAATAATGCAAAGACAAAAACACCTGCAGAACCTTTCGGAGCATTGCAGTCCAAAAGCATGTTCACCAGCATTTGTACTGTTGGATGGCAGTCAGGTAGCAGCTCTTCTCTCATAGTTCTCACATAGCTTGACAAAAAATGATTTCATGGAAGAGACTTCAGACTGATTTTCATGAGGTAGCTATGGAAAAGACCTGTCTATAAAAGTGCTCCCAAAGCAGTAATACTAACATTTATTTTGAAGAATCTAAGTTTATTCATGTATTTATAATGTTAAAAGTACCTCATCAAATGGGTAAGTAAAAAATGAAGGGGGGGAAGAGATTACAGGCACTGTAAATAATGAACACAAAAAATTGCTAATTCAGGACAACAGGAAAAAAATTAGGTAATAATTGGGAGGGGGGAAATAAAGTTTTCCAGATACAAGGTTTCACTTTAATGACCTCCAGGTTGTTTGGTGGGTTTTTTTTTAATTTCCAAAATAGCACTTTTAAAAAGTGTACCTTGGGATTCTTACTTACATTTACAAAGGCTTCTGGGAAATACTACCCCTTCCATTTCCTTTAAGGTCTTTCCTCCCAATAGCTCTTAGCTGCTGAAGAGAAAGCGGTATTGGGGGGGGAGGGGGCGGGAGGGTGGGAAGGTAAGCAGACCAAGGTATATGTAAGTACAATAACCACTTCCCATGGTTTCTCAGTATATGGAAATTCAAATTCCAGTTTCAGCTGCCCAGTGCTTTGAAAGAAATTCTCTGCAAAATCAAAGACTCCCATAGAGTAGACAAGGACTTCACAGTACCCATGAATTTCAAACCAGACAGTCTGACAATAGTAAATGCTGCCTTTTCTCCCCAGCCCAAGAATCCATATACCTTAAATCAAAAGATATATTTCTAGAAATATGGATAAACGAAACTGAGGCACATAATTGCAGACCTAAAACTAGATAAAGGTCTTGGTGTAAAACAGCAGGAAAAAGATAGATAAAGATTTCACCTGATCTCTTCAGACCCAAAGACAGCAAAGATAAGAGAAAGAGCCAGAAATCACAGAAAAGCAGTTTTCAAGGACAAGTCTGATTAAATCCTGCCCTCTGCTTCAATGCAAAGAACATGTATTCTAACATTATTTTGAACACTGAAACATAATTCTCTTTCAATGCTGAAGCAAATGTTTGGTCCATGTAACGTGCATTTACTCTTCATATATGATACAGAACAATATATAAAATACAGAGCAAAAATGTAGGCCTTTAAAAAAACTTAAAGAACAAAGTCACAATTATTTGCATTTAAATTGTTATTACTAGTGGGGTTTTTTGGTTTGTTGTGTTTTTAAATTAACATGCATCATTTCCTTACCTTGCAAACGGTCTCTGTATCCCAGGGTAAGATGGTCCTCAGATCAATAACTTCACAGGATACACCAAGCTTTTCTTGAGCCATTGCTGCCACCTCTTTGATCACATGTACCTGAAAAGGCAACGTATTGTCACCAAGTAAACATTTAATTTCTGTTTAAGATGTTCTAAATAAGGCATAGTGAATACAAGCAGTGATTTAACATATTACCTGCATGTTTAGCAGAAACCTTTTTGTTCAGTAATCTAATAAGCATTTATTACTCAGTTCATTCTTCTTTACTACTTACATTATTCCTAGTATTTTAGCACCACTTCAAAAACTAACTTCAATGAAGAATCGCTGAAAACAAAACTGTTGCTTTCTAGAAAAGTATCTTTCAGTGAACAGTATCAGGCCTCACTATTTTATATTTGTAGTCAGTTTGGGGTTTAGGAGAAGGGTTTTTTAGGACTGTAACTAAGCTAAGACCCAAATATATCAGAGTAATGTATTTTGATGTAGCAGTCACATGAAATCCTGCAAGAAGCATTATATGACTTCAAAAATAGTCCTAGTAACTACACTTACTACAATTTACTGAAAGTGCAATAGATTACAAAGTGCTCATCTCTAAAGCATTACCTTATGAACAGTTAGAAGAGATAGTAAGTACCACGTAAAAAATTACCTGTAAACATCCAGTCCTGACCCCCACAATCAAAGCATATGGGTACTAATATGACAATATGACCATTCACTGGTCTTCCAACACAGTTTAATAACAACACTACAAATGTTGCATTATCTGATCATTATAATTAACATTTTACTAAAACAAAAAAGTATTCCCCTCTAGCAAGAGGCTTGTACTGAATTAGAATACATGTTATTCACTATCCACCAGTCAAGGAATGTATTTAGCGGCATATGTAAGCGCATCAAAGTAGATGTAAAACAATCCGCATCTATTAGCATCCTTTTCATAAGGTATGTTATGATATGAACAGAAAAGAAAGCAATACTACATACATTCAAAACTGTATCTTGACATTATGTTATACAACACTGTTAAGCAAAATGTATTGTAAGCATTGGCTTCCCTAAAACAAACATTAGCAAGCAAATGCTCCAACACGGAAAATAACAACTGTTACGACAACAACTCAGATTATCCTCCACAAATATCTCAGCAAAAAATATTTGCTCATGAGATATGAGGGTAAAAATAATTTCTCGATATGATGTTGTCAATAAACTGTTTTCCTTATTGTTAGAATGTTTCATAATACAGGTTTGGACTGAGGGAGATGACCTCCATCGAGCAATTTCTAGGCATAGGTAAGGTGTTGGAGGCCAGGGACCAACCCCAATAAGCAATTCAGATGAGGTCACCTTGGTCTGGAAGGCAACGGAATTTAACAATATGGACACCGTCAGGCAGTGTCAGTTGCCTGAGGGTCAGAGAGCGGTCTTAAATTCTACATAGAGAAAAAAATCTATGCTGAAACAAGATGATTAAGGATTTAAACATGCATCTACATAATGCAAATATGAATAGCTAAACACCAAAGGGCTATTTTAAAAGGTAAATCAATAAAAGTATTGTAATAATAAAAAGAAAATATAGCTTGCAGTGTTTCTGTTTAAACTTCTAACACATCTATGGCTGTAATAAGAGGGTTTGAGAATTTTCAACATGACACATAGGATGGATGTTTTTGCCATTTCTCTGATGTGTAAGTGAGAATGTTTACCTAGTTCACAGGGGATAAGGATTAGTTAATGTCCATAAAACACTGAGCACAACTGGAGAGGAACTAAAAGCCTTTACTGCACCTCATTAGTACCACCCAGGAAAGCAAGCATCAGGCAATCCCACCAGAGCAGCAGCTGCCAAGCAACTACCTAACGTCCAAAATCATATGAGAAGTCATCAGTGAGTACGTGCAATCACTCTGCCTATTGACAATAAACTCTGGATTGGTTGCACATTTAGTAATCAAGTTCCAAGTTTATGTACACAGCCTGCAAACACCCTTAGCACAAACTCACTGAATGTATTTGATCTGCAGAAGCCTGACACATCCAGAACACACTGGATTTACTGCGTATGCGCTAAGCATCTGTCCCCATGCTGTATTATACAGCCACACCCGTGGTTTGGTCAGCTCCTAAATTTGGATTAGGGCTGCACATCTGTCCCATTACTATTCATATCAAAAGAACACTTGGTCTACATTTTCCAAGCTCCAAAGCACATAGCTTTTCGAAGGATGTCACTCCAAGTCCTCTCTGCACTACTGCCTACTGGGTAAACTCAGCCAGCTTTCAAGTCATTACTTTATCAATTCAATTTCTGGGAATATGATGAACACTAAGATTTCATCCAAATGGAGCAAAAATTTGCACTTTCAAAAGGGAACACAGAGAACTATAGAAACTGTTTTCTGCTGGAGAAACGAGTACAAGTAAAGATATTGAAGGAGTCTATAATTTAATACTAGTGCAAAGTATCAAAGACTAGTAGGAATAACCATAGATATAAAGGAGATCAAGTAGTCTGAGGACAAGGGAACTATCACAGAAAAGCACTGAAGATTACAGATTTCAAACAAAAAGAAAAAAAGGTACAACCCCAGAGATCAATTCAATACTCTTGTGATGAAAGTTATAACACTCTCTCCTCTAAAAGCTTCTCAGATATAATTAGGCCAGGAAAATAGTGATTTCTAAATTATAATTTAAAGGCAATAAAACGGGTTTTCTGGTAATTCCAAACTAGACTCAAATTTCTTTTCTATAATTCTTGAAAACGAACATGTATTTTCTTACCAGATTTTTCAATATTTGCACATCTTAATTGGGGGGGGGGGGGGGGGGGGGGGGGGTTCACACAAATTTCTTACAAAGACTTAAATTATAAAGGGATCCCCAGACTACACTTTTTTAACTTATGCAGTAAAACACTGTACTTTTCTTTCAGCATACTACTTTGAACTCTCCTTTCCCATTGCCTTCCTCAGAGTCACATCTCATTGCCCCATTCTTAAATATATCACTTTCATAATCACGGATAGATCATTAGCCTCCTGCACAGGTACCTATTCCACATTTCCAGAGTCAGCTTCAACCGAAAATGAGTACAATCTTACACAATAAAAAGCAGGTTTCATATAAATATAAACACTGGCAATCATTTATTCAAGCATTTAGTGATGGAAGATGCACCCAGTTTATTGTCTGGCACTTGAGCCTGAATGCAACATTATTCAAACATCACCTAACCCTATTCCATTCTATTCCATTCCATTCCATCCCTTAGCCTAGGCTTTGCTGGATGACAAATAGCTTTTAAGAGCCTTACGGACCTGAGTGCCCCAAGCAACCAGTGTCACATCACTGCCCGTCTGCAGCACCTCAGCTTGAGACAGAGGAATGTTGTAGGGCTCCACAGGAACTTGTTCCACTGAATAAATAAAAACAAAGGGAAAAAATAAGCATTAGATACCTTTACTATTCAATATTATCCCATAAAAATATACACTAAAAATTTTCTTCAATGTTAATGCCATCTAAAACAATAGACCAAAATCACATTATTAGCCTTTATTTCAAAGGTTTAGCTGTAATTAAAAATATTTTTAATTATACTGTTAAAAACACATTCAGTGTAGTGTTTAATTTATGTTATATACCACAGCAGTAAGATACACATATACACAACGATAGTAATAAGTCCTGGAGTACCCCAACTCAAAATACCAGCATCAGATTTGGAGATGGACACTGCTACAATTGATAAAAGATCTCAAGTAAACACTGCAGTTAATTCTAATAAGCATCAAGAGAGCCTTGAAATTATACTTTAATACTCAGACGAGAAGGAAAAGCTGTGCCAGCACCCTCCTGAATCTGCCAAGAACAATGCTCCACAGTTTTATGTATAGAGGGAAAATGTTTTCAGAACCTACACAGAAAGTGTCAGCAAGAACTTGTGATTATAGCAGTTTTAAATTAGTCTAAATATTTTTGCTTTGGGAAAAAAAAAGTTATCTATTGACCAAAAATACATCACAATTAGAGAGAGTAGACAAAAATTAAACAACTTGTCTTCTCTACAACATTTAAGGTCGTTCCACTCAACTTAAGACCCATTTTCTAGTTTTTAGATGGAAACACATTAGGTCAGTTGTGCTAGTTTTGAATCAATGCTTCAATGCATGATACGTTGACTGGTTTAATGATTAAAACTGTGATAAAAGACATCCATATATCATATTTTAAAAGAACTTTTGTAATGCTTCAAGCATGATACGTTGACTGGTTTAATGATTAAAACTGTGATAAAAGACATCCATATATCATAAGAACTTTTGTTTTGATCTAAAGGTGAACTTGTCTATGCACCAGCAAGTAGCAAGTTACTTCTTAAAATAAATTCTGAACAAAATTGCTTCTTGAAGTTATGATAAAGAATCCTACTGAGTGATACCAGCAGGAGAAATTAAGTGTTTTGTATTTTTCCTTCATTGGTATAGCAGATCCAACACAAGTAGAAGGACCTAGGTTTTTTCCTGGGTTACAATTTATCAACATAACTTTTCAATAAATCAAGTGGGGAATATTTTTTTTTAAATTACAGCAGATTTTTTTTTTTTTTTGCCAGTAATGATATATAAATACTACCAATTTCACAGAATCACAGAATGGCTGAGGTAGGAAGCGACCCCTGGAGATCACCTAGTCCAAGCCCCCTGCTCAGAGCAAGGTCACCTAGAGCCGGTCATTCACGTCCATGTCCAGTCAGGTTTTGAGTATTTCCACGGTCAGAGACTCCACAACCTCTCTGGGCAACCTGTTCCTGTGGTTGACCACCCTCACAGTAAAAAAGTTTTTGCCTATGCTTATGTTAGAGGTATCTCACTTCAACTGAATGGGCACAGAGGAGACATACGTATTAACTAAATCATTCTTCCTAAAACAGAACAGGAACTGTTTTTTCAGCATAATTCAAGAACACATGTCCATTCAATCAAGGAAAAAAGAAAAAAAATTGAATTTTAAACACAAGGTGCTTTTAAACATGGCACAATATCAGATCTCTTTGCAAACTATTATTTTTAATGTATTAAAATATCAGTGTCTTCCTGTGATTTCTTTGAATAACAAGTGGCTAAAGGAATACAGGGTGGAGAAAGAAAGAGGGGAAAGGCACATCCAGCCCTTGCTCACTGCACATTACTGGTTGACAGTAAAGCAGACCAGTATTCTATGGATTTTGCACATTGTAAAACTCTCAGGCAAAAAACAGCAGAGATCCTGAATGATAATGAAACTCACAACTATACGAATTGGCATTCCATAACTGTCTTTTTCATGGGATTGTCATCTACATGAAACCTGGAGAACAAGAACCTTATACAGATGCCACGGGACCTTCAAGTGGAAACCCAGGCAACTGACATGAATGAGGAGGTTTTGAAGTGACAGTGGGATGCACCAGAGGAAGAACTGGAAGGTGTACATGATACAAAAAGAGCTCCTCCTCTGCGTAATGGTTTTATCCACTTAGGGAAATTAAATATAACATACAATTACACAAATTAACTGATTTCTTATTATAGCTAAACCATTCTGCAACAGGATGTCCATTGGATGAGCTCATCTAGAATTCCTGACACTTTCAAATGCAAAATTCAGCTTGTCAAAAATTTATAGGGAAGTCCAGATTTGGCAGGATTTTATTCAAATGCCTTTGCAAAAACTCCTCCCTCCACTAACAATGATGAAAAGTAGCATATGAAATTATTCTACGCACGTTCTTCCATAATAATTAACCAAACCAGGACAACGTCTATACAAAGCAGCCCATTCATCTATTACTGAAGATATAAATAAAATATTTTAAATCAAATATTTCAAATACAGATTTCAAATAAAGCAATTAACAAAAAGTTGTAATTATCAGAGAAGAAGGGCCATCACAAGTTAATTTTAAGAGGCTGCACCATCTGTTGCTTTTTCTAAAAGAGCAATCTGAACAGCAGAAGGAAAACACATGTTTTCTCATCTTACCTGTCTTGTCTCTATAACAACCACTGATGCAAATCGTATTTATTTCTACACCACCAATGTCATATATAGTACAATTAAATGAAACTGAAAAGGTCAAAAAACATCAGAGTAGGTTCTGCACAAGATGTCTAAACCTGATAATGTCAAGGTGACTCATCTTCTCCTTTGATTCATAATCATTAAGTGCTCTTGACACTGCACAGGCTGTTAACTACTTTTTATAAATCGAAGCCTCCTTTTTCTTTTTAATTCAGATATTTTCTTAGTACCTCTGACATTTAGGGGGACTTCACCACGGCACTTTCAATAACATTATAATCTCATAAGTTAACCAGCAACAGAATTCTCTCTATATATGCGTAGCTGTATATTTAACTCTGTACTTTTACCCAGAAAGGCTTACATTTCTTTGCTCCTTTCTAATTTTATACAAGCCAAATTAACATACACAAAGCTTCTGATGACCACTGTAAGGTTATGTGGACGGAGAGAGAATCTGCTCCCTTAAGGGTGTCTAGACAAGGATCTTTTCAATTCAAAAGGGGATAATAGGAAGAGGGAGAAGCCATAAGGAAGAACATGCAGGGACACAAACCTAACCAAACAATGAGGGAGGCAGTAACAAGAACCAAACCTGCTCAGTCCCACTTATTGATAAGGGTATGGGGAATGTGGGAGTGTTTCTTTCAGTAACATTATCTGATGGAGGACCTTGTCAAATGGGATGATAAAAAAAAGAAGCTATAAACAAAATAGACAGAGACACAAATGTGAAGAGAAACATAACAGAGACAAAAGACAAGAAACAAACCTGGACAGGCACACTGAACGAAGGGCTATCAAGAAACTAAGGGCAAAACAGGACTTTGCAACTGATAAGCATGCAAACTGATAAGCCCAGAGTGTTGGAGGGGGGGTGCATGGAACTACAACAGCTGATGAGGGCATGTGAAGGGGTTTGGGGAGGAACAAGGTGGAGAACAAACAGAAAGGGTTATAGAAGGGGCCAGTTGCACATAAAACAGGGTCAGCATGTCTGTCTGACTGAGCCCTGTGCCTCATCATGGTGGTCAGTACTAGCTTCTTCTGAAATCCTATCCTGTGCAGGGGTATGTGCTGCAAGGACTAAGTGTCAGCTGCTGGTGAGACCAGCATGAGAAGACAAGACACTGGGCCAGCAACAGGAGTCAAACCGGGGTGCACACGCCCTGGGCCTGTGGTGTGAGCTACAGGAACAAGTGAGGGCCTTGGCCATCAGCTGCTGGGGTGGGAACAGCACGTGTCCCAAACACCAGCTACTGGGAGGGACTCAAGTGAGGCAAGTAAAAGGCTGTCCTGTGGGAACCATGCAGGGCTGCTAGACTGGCTAAGATCCTCCACTCAAGAGTTTTGAAAGGAAAAGAGCTGTCCAGGGGGAGAAACACTGTCATTCCCCACTCCACATATGCACAACCAAGCTGGTGGTGGCACTGCCGTAACTGTCCAAGCAAGTAAACAAAGAGTAAGGGTGAGCATTCCAAAATGCCCAGGCACACTGAGGAACAGCTGAACAAACTGCTAGTAAAGAGGGTGACTGTGCAAGAGAAATAGGCAAGTCCTGCCTGTGGGCTCAGTCACAGATGCGGCACTGTACTGCTTCAGAGTATGGGAAGAAGAAATCTGCAATTACTACCTACAACTATGCATGCTAAGTATACTTCTTCTTCTTTTCTGATCTAGTTACTGCTTTATGATATGTCTTACATACATATGTATCTATATAAACATATATATGCACATCGATAACATGTTATATATACCTATACATAAACACATATATCTGTATATAGGGACTATTTCAAATTGGTTGCACGTTAGAGCTAATGCAGAATATGAAATTTAGCAACTGTATTTCATTCAAACAAAATAGATAGTTCTCTTATGTAACTTTTAAAACTATTAACAGACACCCAGGCAAAGCTTAAAGTCTTAGCTTTAAGTCCACTCCCTCCTTTTGGTGTTACTAGGGCTCTTGGATATCTAAAGTGAGAGTTACTTTTTGAATGAACTGGAAAATGTTTTCAAAATGTTCTTGCAAAGCTGTTCCTCACTTTGGAAGTTGCCTTTTCTCCTCGGTTCATCACAGTGTGAATGTAGTGAACGTAATGCAATGCTACTTCGATATCCACCTTTCTCCCAGGGATGACCAAGGTGAATATTTAAGGCCTAATTTTATTCTTGTATCTTGTGTGGGCAAAGGCATGTTTGGATAGCAAATATTCCTATAGAAATGAATGTTCATTTAATAACATGGTTAGTTTTACCTCATGTCTGAATAAGCACACAACATATCTAAATAAGCAAATCTGTGTTCATTTGGGAAGATATCCAGCTAAATTAATTATTCCAAAAAAATAGCAGGCAATCACAATATCCATGTGATAGTCACACTGAAATATTTTGTGCTACAGCTCTGATTTACCTTGGAGACCAGACATGTTTCAAAACACTTACAAAGATTCTTCTTTTTTTTCTTGTACAATGTCTTTACTGTTATGAAAAAAATCTATGCTTGAATCTTGAAAAACCTGCCCTGTCATCAACAAGCCAACAAAGCCGCCCCCTCCGCCCCCAAAAAAAAAAAAAAAAAAGAAAATCACGTGATCTGGCTATGTAGTGCTTGTTTTTCTTGGCGAAAGCAATTGGTGGGCCTATATAGCTCCTTGGAGGTACGCATCAGATGCAAAATCACAAGGTTGGTTCTACACAAGAGATTCCATAAAACAGCAATGACCTGGCACCCTGCTTAACGTTCTCAAAAAGCAACTTCAGGTTATACATCCTAAGCTAAATATATATTATCTTCCATCACAAGCATCCAACAGCTAATTTCAACAATAATAGCAACGCTTGGGGGCAGAAGCAGAGGACATAGTTTTTTGTTGGTTGGGGTGTAGTGGGTGTGGGGTTTTTGTTGTTTTTTGTTTGGTTTGGTTGTTTGTTTTAAACAACGCATTAGTAGCTTCAACCCACTCGAACAAGGACACATATCCTGTGTTTTGAAGACTATCCCATCTACAGCCTATTTTCAGCTGAAATTTCAAAGGTATTAACAACTCAGAACAAAATATCACGGATAGCTATTTACAGGCCTCATAGGGAGAAAGAAAATTCCATTAGAGGAGAATGATGAAGCTCAAATGCCTACATTAATTTTACAGATAGAAAATACTACTTCCCATTATCGTCTTTGACACCTTAATTTTTCAATGAAGTCCTTACACACCCACTGTAACATCACTCATGAAGTTCTCTGCAACAAACATGTCTATTCACATGAAACTAGAACAAAAAAATTTTATGGTAGGGGCAATATAATTTCATTATTCAAAGCCTTAGCCATCATCATGGAAATAAAGAAAATGATTTTTTGTCTGGAACAATGAGGTCCCAAATCTTGGGTGGGGTTTTATACCATATTATGCTATTAATATCCTGTCTTTCTCCTAAAAATGTATCAATGTCAAAGTGGAAGTTTCTGGTAGAAATCAATAACTCCCCTTACCCCGCTCCCCAAAAAAGAAAAAAAATAGAGACAAATAAAGCAACAGAGAACATCTGATACCATTTCGTCTTCTTGTTTTGGAAAGCCTGCGTGTTCCCAGCCTTGGGAAGACCCTGTAGTATTTTGAGACGCTAATGGAAAGAGACAAGAAATACATATATAGTTCAAGCTTACTGTGTAAGCAAATTTCTGAATCTGTACTATCCTCTTTCTCCCACTAGAATCAACAGACTCATATGGGATATCATAAAAGTTTGCTCTACTCAAAACACAAGACAGTTGCATTTTAAAATCCTTCTTTCCACCATTTATCCTGTTCTTATTTATCAGGCTTGTGTCTTATTGCTCTTGCCTCTGGACCAAACAAACAAGCATGATGACCCTGGTCCACTTCTGAATTCACCAGGCCACTTCGTTTCTATGGTGGATTACAAGAAACCCTGACCATGGCCAGCAGCATAAGAAGGAATTCTGAGAGAGATTAATTTTCTAGAAGAAACTCCCAGACACCACTCTTCTTCCAGCTGAAGCTGACCAAACCCACAAAGGACAGCTAAACTGTTAAGAAGATGAACTAGCGATGCCAGAGGGAAAGGTTTTCAATGAAAATAAAAGGAACATCGAAACCCTTCCACATAATAAAATATTCCTTCTTTATATTGTAGAAATAATAGAAAGTCCACTCAAAATTGTCTCAAAATGAAAGAAGTTTCCTGTCACAATCATCCCCGTCACATGTTGACACAAATGTACTATAAATTTCAGCCTAGATCACTAAACTGATGTTCTTAGAAATTTTAAGGCAAAAATGTAGGTAATGTCTCTGAAAATGAAGCCATTGCAATATAGGAGGAAATCACAGTCTTTCAGAAACTATCAACATCATCTTGCAGCAACGCTGCGGTTGGTTATTGACCATCACAAACCACATTAACCGCTATTTCAGCACATTTTTACTCAAGATTTCAATCACAAGGCTGATTTATGTTCACTAGGTGATCCAGCAATTGGTTTACAAGTCATTTCCTCAAAAACAAAAACCTCCCTATATTCTCAAAAGCTGTGTGATATTGATGTGCCGCCACTCATTCCACTATGAAAGCAAATATTTTATTAACTCCACAGTCTGTATTTGTGACTTGTAAATACTGAAGGAAAAAAAAAAGACAGACAGGGTTGGTTTAAAGACACAGGAATTTTAAACTTCCATTTTTTTCTTTGTTTAACAGGACTCTAACACTCAAGTTCATTTTCCAAACTACTTCATCTAAATGAAGAGTCAGAGGTCTTTATTGCTAAATTTCAGTAAGCTCTCAAAACACAGCGAACACAGGAAACACAGTGATGTACCCTTTGGGTACATCACACACACCACACTAAAAATAGCTGCACTTTTAAAAATATATTGCTAATGGGAATTCTGGGTCTTTTTTGAAAATCTAAAAGCAAATAAACAGTTTACCCGGTAAATATCCTGTTTGTTTCTGAGTTATTCTGCTATTTTTTTGTAGATTTGATGTCTGCTTTCTAAATCTTTCCCTTGTTATTCTTTGCTTCTCTTCTCTAGGAAGAGGATAGATTTACTAACAGAGTGGATGCACTGATGAAAAAGTGCTGTTAAAAGGTCCAAAGTAAAATACAAACATTTTGTCCTTCACTCAACTTGAGTCCACACACAGAGTCAACTTATAAATTGGATTGACGGATTCAAGCATAGTTGGTATATAAAGCTATATGACATAGAAACACTGAAGGTAAGTGACAGCTTGAGTTCTATTTTATCAGTTGCTCATCCAATTACTCTGCCTATCTCCACATGCAAAATTTGTTTTCATCCATCTGTTCTCAGTCCAGTTTCTCCAGTCCAAAGAAGTAACAAGCTAATTTTTACAACCAACTCAAGCACTATCATTTTCAAATTACTCTGTTCTTATATGTTACGCATAACGATAGCTGTTAAAACTTCTTTGAACCAAAAAGTTCATTGTGACTAAAACAAATTTGAAAAGTAATGGCAATCACACTTCATTCCACATAAGATTAAAATCTAAGGGGCAGATTTTCAAGATTTTTAGAAATAAAGCACTTCAAAGAAATTTTAACTTTGGGAAAATTATGATGGTGATGTTCAGTTCCTTTGGAAAAATAAAAACTGATCTGGAAACTTATTTTAGTATCTAGAGTTACCAAAAAGAAAGCAGTTTAACTTCTGACAAATTTATATTGCAATTTGATAAAGGATAATGCCTCTTAGTTCTATTTCTTCTTTTTTTTTTTAACCCAAGACTGTACAAAGCATTCTGCTTTGAAAGTTAACTGAGCATGAATCAGACTGTAAATGTTCATTTATCTTTGCAGCCAAATTTAGAGATCTTATTCAGTTTTCACAATTCCTCTAAAAACACAACACCCAAACATAGCTAGAGACAAAACAAGTCAAGATTTCTGCTACAGTATTGTTTTAGCTGTGACTATCAACATATATATGCCAAAAAAAAAAGTGTTGCTTTATTGGAAAATACAGCATATAAATCTTTACCTGCAGCTCTGTAAAGTATTTTAGGTTCAAAGAATATGCATGGGTTTTTGTCCTCTATGCATGACAGCAGCAGTCCTTTGGCCTGAAGAGGACTCCTTGGAATAACAATCTGTAAAAATATTTTTTAAATAGTTTATTTAAACTGCAATTCTGCTACAAGCTAACTCAATTAATATTAAAAACCAAGCAATTATTTGCTTTAAATAAACATATGTACAGATTGAGCAGTTCTTACAAAGTGAATTAACATCAGTGCTACATTACTAACACGCTCCAAATTTTGAATTTTATTTTGTTCATTGATGAGGCTTGAATAGTTCCCCTCTACACCATGATTTAAATACTAATGGACTCCCCTCCGATAAGGTAGAAATAGCATCTTGAGGTAGAAGGAACAGAATAAAGTCAGTCAGATTTTAAAAAAATATTATATTTTATTTTAGTAAAATTAATGTAGATGCATGACAAAAAAATTCAGCTGAGTGATCCTCAGTTGCTTGGGTAAAGATTCATCAGAGCAGGCCTGGAAGGTATTCAGATTTAGTCCAGTAAGTTTTGAAGACTAAAAAACGAAATAGCTATTTAAAGTTGACTTCCTTGCTTATGGTAGAAGGCTGAAATTTGTTCATTTTGGAAATGAACAAATACCAAAAAATACCTGAAACTATTATCAAGCAAAGAGAAAACTAAGGAAGGCCTCCAGACATAATCTGAATACTTGGAAGGAAAAAGTATAATTGATTTGCCAACAGAAGAGTTAATTTTGGATGATCTAAGAGAATGTTGATTACGAACAGAAAATTACCAAATTATCACGGTTTAAATGAAAATAGAACCCAAGAGCTCAATTCCCTCAAATCAGAAGGACCAGCTAATTTATATCCCAGAGATCTCAAAGAGCTGGCACATGCAGCCTGAAGTCTACTAGCAAGCATTTTTATAGCTGTGAAGTTAGAAGTGGCCCCCTCTGACTGAAAACATTAGTTGTAGCACTTGTTTAAAGAAAAAAAAAAATATCCATGTAACTACAGACATGTTACCTTACTGCCTCCAGGAGTTTCCAAGACTTCAAAATATTTTTCGAGAGTAAGAACATTTAATTATATAAAAGTAATAGAAAAGAGTCAAAACACAACCTAAATCTGCTATCACATCAAATTAACTTGATAAGTGATTTTTCTAATCAAGGGAGAAGCAGTCTATTAATATTTCACCGAAGCATTTGGTAACAGACACATGGGAAATTACCCAACTAATGGATGTTACCAGTGCAGCTCCTTAGGGATCATTTTTAGGACAGACTTTATTTACCTTATTCTTTTACGATATTAAGTCAGAACATGGTAATGAAAACTATTCAAACGCTGAGAGTCACTACCACTACAGAGGACGACACCAAAAAGATCTAGTTCACATTGAGGACATGACTGACAAAAGCAAAAGCAAACTGAACAATACATACTGAAAAGTCACACATTTAAGGACTACATTTTTGTTATAAATTTAAAACTCAGCAGTAGAAATTCAGATCTGAATTTATTATCTGCTCAAAGGATGACTAGGACACTATGCAGTACAGCCCTAAAAAAGCATAATTATATAGCCAAGGAAGTGTTAGTGCTATTGCAAAAATCACTGCTAGAAACTCAGCCTGGAATACTTCATGACTATATAAACTGATTTGAAAGGAAATGAATGAAACACGTGCCAAAAGAGCTTCAGATATTGTTAACATCTCTTTGAGAGTTTGATTTGTTTAGTCTAACAAAAAAAAGACTAAAGGGAAAACAATTGTTCTCTTAGTATGTGAAAGGGAAGATGAAGGACAGATAAGTTAAATATACAAGTTAGTCAGGAACAAATTTAGGCTGGAAATGAAAAGAAAGCTTCTAGCCATGACGGCAAATATCCTGGAGCAGTCTTACAATGGAATGGAGAGAGTCAATACAGTAATTTTGGAAGACAGTCTGATCCATTAAGACATACATCCTCACAACAGTAGACAAAAGATACAACCATCTAGTAATGTCCTCATCATCCCAACAAGCCTTGTCTTAAGTACCGATTACAGTCCTTCCCCTGAACAGTCAAAGTTGTACAAACTCCTTTTTGCTTGGGAAATCCAAACCTCACCTTTCACTTAAGAAATCCAAACCTTACCTTTCACTTAAGAAAAACACAAAATAGAATGTTAAGTCAGGAACCTGCCACAGAGTTTAATAAGAGGGCAGTTTTGAAAACCACTGTCCCCAAAGATCAGTCCTACTCTTCCCAGCTTGTGATACATACCCTTTTCTCCTGTAATTTGGAGAAAATATGCATAGATGTGGGACTTTTGCAAATGCATCTGAACCACAGGTTCATTTGCATTTCTGGATTCATACGTTAAGGGCTGGGTTTGGGTTCATTCAAAAACAGACCTGCAACCTTGAAGATAAAACCTTAAACCTTATTAACTGCATTAATGAACAGCTTTGCAAAAAAATATTAAAGGAACAACATTGTTTTCACAAAGATACAGAATTCAAAAGATAGAGTCTAAAATACTTCTCTGTGCATCAAAAACTAGTATATTGTTCCACCGGTTCCACAGAATTTAATGTGCCCTTTATCTTTAACTGAGATGACAGCTGTTAGTGGTAGCAACCTATTTTAGCACTTTACCCAAGGAAAAGTGAAAGAAAGTGAAAAACCAATGAGAAGAAACATCAGAGATGAGAGAAAAGAAACTAAATTACCTGGAGTGATTAATAAAATTCTGACTTACTAACTTATTCAGAAGACTAAGCACAGTAGTACTAGATTGCTATGAATTAGAAAGAGTTTTAATCACCAGAGTGGACCACTAAATCTCAGCACTTGGTTCAGTATATAAAGATTTGAGATCGACCAACAAGATCAGCATAAATTAGCTAGACCTGGCATCAGCATCTTAATCATATAAGTTATCTTGTGCTTCCATGTGATAATAAACTACTCTAGTTTTTAAACAAGCTCAAGAAACAGTTTGATTCAATTACCTGGCAAAAGACTTTGTAGATTGCTTTTGTCTATATCAGGAAATATTTTCAAGTTCAGAATAGGAACACCTCAAAGATCATAAAGAACTGCCAAAGACAAAAATGCATTCCGTTTCTCAAATATCATGGAATAAAATTGAATAATACAAGATTTTTTATTTAAGTAAAGAGAAACAAGTAGGAGAAATGGCTATGGCCTCCCTGTGAATGAGTAATATCTGAAGTTTTAGAACACCAAAATCATATATAGACAAAAGCTTAAACAACAGATAAACAATGAACATGTGTCTTCAGCATACAAACACTGGTTTTGCTTAAGTCTTCCACATTAATCAAGCTATGAGTCACTTCTCAATGGACTAGATGCCAGTCAACCCAGAAGTACAAGTCCATAGACAAAAATTTACTCAGAAAAAATGGAGAGCTGGCAAACAGTGCTCTCTTAATCTGATCCCACCCCTTCCTCTTCTCCAGGAAAGTTATCCATCTAAGAGCTAGGAATCTTAGCTTCAAGGGATGCCACTGTCTCACACAGAAAGCTTGCCTAAAGTTCTCATTCAGAGAATCACAGAACAGTTGAGGTTGGCAGGGACCTCCAGAGGTCATCTGGTCCCACACCCCTGCTCAAGCAGAGCCACCTAGAGCTGGTTGCCCAGGACCATGTGCAGACAACTTCTGAATACCTCCAAACATGGAGATTCCACAACCTCTCTGGGAAACCTGTGCCAAGTGCTTCCTTATGTTCAGATGGAACCTCTTCTGCTTCAGTTTGTACCCATTGCCTGTCACTGTCATTCATATAAATGAATTTGAATATGCACTTAAGAAGGCAGATGCAGAAAGAAAAAAAGGAAAGTACTATTTATTAATGTTAGTTTTTAGTTTCTGTACTATACTGACACAGAACAAATGTAAAATGTATGCTTTTAGAGCAAAAAGCACACAAATACAAAATGCTATGTCTATTAAAGATTGTGTCAGTGATGGCTATAAATTCTCAAACTCTTAACACGGCTTAAGTTTTATAACTTGAAAACTTATAAAAGAGTTTTTAATTAACATATTCAGATTTTTTGTTGTGGACTTTGACTGCCATTCTTCTTCCCCTGCTTGCACCCAGACTCATTGTTGGTCAGGTTCATTAAAAAAACAAACAAAAAAAACCCAAACAAAAAAAATTAATCTTCATACAATAAGAGTTACCGTACCTTTATTCCTGGACAGTGAGCAAAAAAAGCTTCTGGACTTTGAGAGTGATATAGTGCACCATGACCCACACAGCCCCAGGGGGCTCTGATGGTGAGGCTTCCACAATTAAACAGATCTCCAGAGCGGTAACGATATTTTGCTGCTTCGTTAACAATCTGGGAAGATTTATATACAAAAGTAATATTCAGTCCAATACCTTTAGTTATGCATCATTAAGCCTCTATATTACATGAAATGTATCTACATCATCTGCTCCATGCATGAATTCAGAGGATCAAATTAGAAGCAAAGGAATCCTGTAAGTCAGTGGGAAAGCAAACATTTTCCAAGGCAAACAAGGCGATAATTTAGTGTGTTCAAGTTAGATGCCTATGCCTCAGGAGTAGCCATACAGCCCAGTTGTTTCCCCATTCCCATACTGTTAATGAGCCCAGTTCAAATCTGTAGTTTGTCCTGTGGACACATGGCTGGCTGCAGAAGCATAGAGAAGTGAGAGATGGTGCTGGGAAGACACAGCTGAGGAATTTAAGGCTGCTGAAGCCAACACAGCCACAAAACTAAAAATAAAAACAAACAAAGAGACATTTGCTTCAAACCACATCTTTAATTTCCATTATTTAATCAGCCTTCAAACTGGCCTCGGTACCTTCCCGTTTACTTAAAGCATGCATAAATATTAGTAATACAGCTGTGGATATATTTGCAAAAATTACGTATTCATACCAAATATTAATGCTAACAGAAGAGTAATTTAAACAGTCATGAGATTTCTTTTTACTTCTCTCAAATTTGTTAGTACTAACCTGATCAAATGCTGGAAAAATGTAATCTGCAAACTGAATTTCTGCAATGGCTGTAGCACCTGCAACAGCAACTCCAATACCAAAGCCAACAATTCCTTGTTCACACAAGGGGGTGTTGAAAACTCTATCTTTACCTATTTAAAAAAAAAAAAAGAAAAGAAAAGAAAAGAAAAAACAACCAAACAAAAAAAACGCACAACAAACAATTCCTTTACAAACAAATCACCTGCAATTAAGCATATGGCTCTTTAGATGGGTTTTTTTAGACGTAGCAACAATAAACCACCATTACAGATAAAGATATTTTCACTTTAATTTGTAACAGCTCAGAGGAAGACAAGCAGAAACAAAATGAAAGATAAGAACAGTTTCTGTAACTTACAATGTTCTTAACACTTCAAGGAAAATAATTTGTTCTGATGTGTATACAGATAAGCATGCATACCCCTCATGCTTATAGGGGAGGAGTAAAGAATACTTACAAGCATTAAAAAAAGCTTACAATAAAGAAAAGTATTGTTACTTCAATTTTTTTAAGGCAGTCAAAACTAACTGTCCATACTCAAAGGCAGATGGATCTTATGAGAGCATCTGTATGAAAGTATACTGTCTCTTGCCCACACTCCCCATAAGCAGTACACAGTCTTACCAGTCTTCTTTTGTAAGGTAGGGCTGCGCTTACTAAAGAATTTGGTTTGTCTCCAAGGCAAGAGAAAAAAAGCTGTTCCTGCTGTTGGAGGCACAAGACTGGAAATCAAATATTTTGGGTTTTGTATCTTCCCCGTGGGAGTGCAAAAGGTCATTTTAGCCCTGACATATTTCTGTACCACAGTAATTTCAGATTCCAAATATGCATCAATCTAATACATAGCTGAAGACAAAATTGCTCAGTTCATGAAATTAAAAACAAGGAGGAAGGAGGAGGGAGATGAAACACCACTACATTATCCTCTATAAGACATATTTACAATATCTGCCAGCAGTACCGTACTTCCTCGGCAGATCAACAGGAGAACCTAGTTATGCTATTAAATTTTCCCTTTAGAACATTGGGAAATAGACAGTAGGTTTCCATAGGAGTCCATCGTGCATGAATATGCTAAGACTTCAAACTGGATGGAAAAAAAATGAGCACAGTGCACACCAGTGGCTATGAAATAAATCAAACAATAACTAAATAACCACGAAATAAATAACTAAAAAGAAAAACTAAACTAATCAATTAATAATTAGGAAAGTTATCATAGAATCATAAAGGTTGGAAAAGACCTCTAAGATCATCGAGTTCAACCGTCAACCCAACACCACCATGCCTGCTAAACCATGTCCCTAAGAGCCTCATCTACACGTCTTTTAAATACCTCCAGGGATGGGGACTCAACCACTTCCCTGGGCAGCCTCTTCCAATGTTTCACCACTCTTTCAGTAAAGACATTTTTCCTCATGTCCAAAAAGTTGTTACTATGAAGACTCCTATTTTCAATAGCTGCAAGTTAACAAACTAGAGAAAGGGAAGCTAACAAAAGGTTTTAGAAAGGGATGATAAGAGGAGAACCACTACCCACAGCTGTATTTACGATATTCTAAAAGGAGGCATGTTCTACAAATCTTTCAAGTACGCATCCTTCATCTTCACACATCACCCAGCACAGCATTGTCACTGCTTGTACCCTGTCCACGTGCTTCACCTGGTGTTTTGAGTTTCATACTCCAAGGGTCACTTTGTTTTGGGTTGGTTTATTGGTTTGATTTTTTGTTGTTTGGTTTTGGAGGAATTGTTTTTGATATATCAGTAATTTGTTTTTGGCTCTCCCTCTGCCAGGAACATGACCAAGACACCATTCATTTAAGGCAAGTAAACAAAATGCCATCCAATGATATTACAATGTTGGTGTTGTCAGTGAGGCTGCACAAGCCAACACAAGTCCAAAGGGCTACCACAATTGCAGGACACTCCACAATTTTGCATACAAGACAGAGGAAACATTTTCAAGCACCTGAAAGATCGTCTTTTTGAGGAGAAACACCATTTTCTCAAATTAGTCATTCCAAACTTCTATGACTTCTACTCATTTCTTATAAACCAGTGTTTGAAACAAAAAACCCTGTGACTTACAGTACTTTTAAGATACATGCACACTGGGCTGCTTCTTGTTTAGAAATAAATTTCCAAGAAACTTTTTAAATTCTTATGACTTAGAAGTCCTGCTATTGCTGCAGGAGATAAAAATGTTACCATAGCTAGCTCAGTAATTAAAACTGAATTCCAGATTAACAAAATTATTGCATAGCTTTTGACAGAAAGTAGAGTTTTGTTGTCTGGATGTCAAACATACCCTGATCAACTCTGAATCACAGCAAAGTACCTTGCAGATCAGAGAACATTTTACAACTAGAAAAACATGCTAACTCTCATTTCCAAGGTATAGGAGCGAGCTGATCTCAGTAATTTCCAGATGTGGGTCATCTATACTTCGTTTCGTATCTCCTGGAAGAAAAATAATAATCTCCGCACGTACTGTGCTCAAAAGTCGTTCAGACTAAAAATGGCATAGGAAGTGAGAGTGGCAGTAACTTCGTAGTGCTGCCATTTATTCTTACTGGGCATTTATTTTACCAGCGTGCTGCAGTAACACTACTAGTCTGCATATTTCTATTCTTTCTTTACTAGTACTACCAATGTGTCTGGCAATGCCACTATATAAAAACAGCCCCAGCCCTGAAAGATTTTTCTTCCAAGTAGCAGAAAGACAAAATGCTCTGGGAAACCCAGAACTGGAGAAGATATTTATAGAAGAGGTAACTTGTTTTCATTGTCCTCGTAATTAAGTTATACTCACTTCTGACAGACATCAATTGTGTTGTGGCTTTACTGCCAAGAATTAACAAAAATCAGTTCAAAAAGCTTCACGCAGGAATATTCTCTTCCCTGAAGAGCTGACAAAAGGGGAACACTTCAGTCACATCACTACCATGCTTCTCCCATGCAGAATAAGAAACTTTGGCTTTCAGGGCTATTTAGTCCCATTTCTACAGAGTAAATAGATCAGTAACTAATCCATAGGATGGAGAAGGAAAATAATGCCATGGAAAGATGAAAGAACTTCTATAACAAGAATGCAAGATGACTTTTGAACCTAGAGAAAGTGTACACTGTGTAAATTGTTCTCCTTCCTGAAGGATGGCTGTAGTCTCAGTTCCCAAGCTATACAGCATCCTCTGGTGTGCTCCCTCCGCTGACAGGCAGCATGATCAAGGAAAGAGGAACATAAACCACCCCTGCAAATGTGTAGTTGCCCCAGGCCTTACCACCACCTGTGAAGGTGGGGAAGCCCTGCTTCAGATGCAATCACAAGAGCTGTCCCCCTGTACCCATATCCATCCGTAAAACTATAAACAGTTGGCAAACTTCTCCTTCCCTCCTTTTTATTTAATCTAGGGTGCCGTGAATTAGACATCTTATTTCCCTTCTCTTTCATTGATGCATTTAAATTTTTAATTTAAAACAGCTCATATTTTAATAAACTAAAAATGCATTAACACTACCAAGACATACTACACTTTCCTACTTCTTAAAAGTCTATTGGCAGATCAATATATTTCACTTCATTTGCTTACATGATAATTTGATATAGGATGTGACTAGCAAAGAAAACACCAGAAAAATAAGACCATAGGGTTGGGGTGAAATTCACAGTAAATTTTAAAACATAACATTATTACATTGAAATCAAAATATTCAATTGGCCTTCTTTTCTTCATGAGAATTTCTATTCTGTTTTAACACATACTGATTTACTGAAATGCAGTTAAATCTGGTTTAAAACTCTACCACATAGCCTACATAAATAGACTAATGTCTGAGCAGAATAAAAAACCAGATTGTTGAGAAGTGCCTAGAAGTCAGATCATACTAAGCTTACGTAACCTTATTCTTTATTAACAGATTTTTCAGAGAAAACTGAAATTGCCTTATACATTAGTTCTATAAATAATTTTATATCATCACACAAAAATTGAAGTGTGTTTGAACAATCCTGTAAAATGAGCTTTCAACTTATAAAAACTTCAAAATTAATTGTTTAATATCAATTTGTGATAGGTGAATGAATTTAAAAGCACGTTAGAGCCACCACACTAGCTTGCCTCTCTATGATTTGGAATATAAAAGACATCCTAACAGAACTGCTGAAATACTATTGAGATATTAAGTTAGAGGAAGCATGCTGCTATCAGTGGAGTATGATGAAATAAATGAAGTGAGAATCAATAAAAGCAAACGTGAAATACAACATGACAGTTATAACATGATCAGCTTGAAGCACCTAATTCGGACTTTGAGAATTAAAGGCATAATCCTGAAGTACTATGGCTTAAAACAGTGAAGAAAGAGCCAGGTAATTGTCATTGAGTGAGATTCATTACTCAGGAATGGTTTTGATTTTACATGTACAACAATAATATTGTTCCCTTCTTAAAAGCAAAACCTGAAGCATTTTACTATTCATTAGATGGGAAAAGAAGGCTTGGATAGAGTTTCAAGGGTTGGGTTGTTTGGGATTTTTTAATAAAATCTAGCCCTTTAAGACAAAAAGCTACACACATCATTAGGATAAAACAAATTTATTAATTTCCCCAAACATTAAAAATTGTATGGCATGGCTTTAACCTATCTTTATTTATACAATATCAAAATCATTACCAAACTAAATATAAATTATTTAAACACTGAAAATTTAAAGGCATTAAGCCTATGTATTTTTATCTATTTTATTTCACATTTTTTATTTTTCACATTTTTTTCAAAATGTGAAAAGGAAGTCATTTTTGATAAACAGTCATTCACATCATCCTTTGTAAACCATTCACTCAGCTGAAATCTGACTCAAGCGGACAAATAACCCCAAGATACCTTGTCCTTCCATATTTCATTTCCGTACCAGTGAAGAAACATTTCCTAAAATGTACTCTTCTCCTATTACTTGCGTCAGCCACGCAGCTCAAAACAAGCTAACACAAACTCTGTGAGCTGACTTGTCACTCCAGGTGAAAGTAGTACCTCTACGTTATCTGAAACCAGGTGCGTCAGCCTCTGAAGAAAGACATTATGCTGGTGTCCATTTCAATTAACCTG